ATAATTTTCTTCAGCCGTTCCCATACGTTCAAACTGGTCGCGGGCGGGCTGACGGCACGTGTTCATTGTATAATCTGATCTACATGCTTCACTTTGATCCTACATGAAAAGGCGCTCCGACGTCGGTCGCCGTTGACTGCCAAGATAATTTTCTTCGGCCGTTTTTATACGTTCAAACTGGAGCCGGGCAGGATGACAGCACGTGTGCTTGGTCAAATCCGATCTAAATTATTCACTTTGCTTGCAGCATCACGCCCTGGCTTCCCCGCTATGCTAATGAGAAAGGCGCTCCGACGCCGGTCGCCGTTGACTACCAATATAATTTTCTTCGGCCGTTCCCATACGTTCAAACTGGTCGCGGGCGAGCCGACAGCATGTGTGCTTGGTAAAATCAGATCTATAATATTCACTTTGCCCGCAGCATTACGCCCTAGGTTCCCCGCTATGCTAATGTACATGAAAAAGACGCACCGACGTCGGTCGTTGTTGACTGTCAAGATTTTCTTCGGCCGTTCTTATACGTTCAAAGTGGCGGAGCGAAGCGCTATAGTTCTAGTGCTATTCTCTCTATATCTTTCTCACTCCCTCTGTTCGCGTGTACATGTTATCTGCTTCGCATTTCCTTTCCTTGCTCTGACAGCAATGAGAACAATCATGGAATACTTTACAAGCATCATTTTATTACAAACGTAGTTAGTTTTACAATAATAAATGTTACATACAATGAGAAGTAAATATAAACAATAACAGTCCCGGTTATTTGGTATTTTCGATTTGTTGTTATTCACTCCTGGTATAATTCATATCAATCGATCAACCAATTTTTTTTCATATTGTAGTAACACATGTAAGGTACAAGTTCACAAGATGTAGACTTGTGAGAGACTGCACTATATCAATAGAACAATAGCAGGACCAATGTTTATAACAAATGCCTACGTACAAACATCAAAAGAAAAATGACATAGTAGTAGAATGCGTTTGCACTCTCTTAATTACGTGAGAGCATTCTCTTATGTTAGACGGACATTGACGTTGCACACGGTTTTATTAAAAAACAATCGGGTAAACAAACACTTGAAAATAACTCCCAATCACTAGCATAAAATATGGTATTATAAACTTGAATTCGTAAATATTTAATATAAATAGTTATGTGCCAAATAATAGAATAGTCTTCTGAACATTGTGCCGAACACATCTTCCGAATGTCAGGTGCAAAAGAGAGGAATGAGCATCGTAGGTTGGTTCAATATGTATAGGATCTGGATTCCATCAGAAAACCACGTCTTCAGATCTTAACACCATATAGACCAGGGGTTCTTAACCCGTGGTCAATGGACCCCTTTGGGGTCTGAGGATGGGCTTCAGGGGGGTCCGTTCAATTTTCCTATTCCTATTCAACATTTTCTGTTTACGTGTTTATGTGCATTTTTCTGAGGAGGGGTCCGTAGCTTTCACCAGATTCTCAAAGGGGTCCATGACTCAATGAAGGTTAAGAACCACTGACATAGACACATCTTTAGATCACTCCATGACCAGGGAAAATGTCACTTAGAGAAGGGCCTCGACTGTAAATCCATCCTCGGTAGAAAGCTTTGGTTTCCGTGTCAGTACAGAAGCATCTCCGTTTCTTCGATTCTGTGAAGATATTTTAACAATAAACATGCTTGCAGTAATTAACCTTGAACTGCTAGTTTTAATAAAGAATCTAAGTATTAGCACTGCAAACTAACCTTTTCAGCAGACTTTTATGAGGCTGATTGAAATCCGACATACTGTTTGCAAGATGTTATAGGCTGGAAACCTTAGGGGCTTAACCCACCGATCTAGCATTGATAGTCATTTAATTTGCCTCCTGGGTACACAATGTTGTAAACAGCAATCATAAGTTAACTAGTGGAAGGCAAATTAACAACGAGTTTACCAAGTACAGTCACAAAAAACACATACCTCTATCTTGCTCTCCATCATAGTCATTCTGGTTTCGACCAGGTAAATTCTATTCGAGAGATTGGCTAATGTAGCTGCAATAGAGGCTAGTTGTGTCTTCACTGTGGTTTCTGTTTCCAACTGCAGATTATCATCTGAAAAACCGCATACATGCCATCATCATTCTGGTTAGTAGCAAAATGTACATATAGAATGCTCGCAATAAACAAACAGCCTGCGCACCTCAAATTAGTCATATCAATGTTTTGTAAGTGTATGTCAAGAGATATTTCAATTAAATCTCGAGTCAGAATACTGTTGCATTTATTGAAATGAACATGAATTTCACCATCACGGAGTTGTGGTTTTATCATGAAAGCAATCCTTACTCTCGACTGACTTTTCGCACTGTTGAAAGTCTTGATGTTCCCACGTCTCCCACTTATCAGTAATCAGATTTACTCGTTCCATTAGTAGGGCAAGTGACTCCATTGTAGTAGCCTAGCCATAACATACATTCCATGTACACACCACGGGTTACGTATTTACACATAAAATTCGTTTGCAATGGAAAATATTTAGTTTTTTTTTATGGCAGAAATCACTGATAACTTTCATGATAACGTGTATACATCTGCTGCTGAATACAGAAACTGCCGTTGAACACTAACTGTAATCTTATTATCATGTGAAAGGTCCCAAACTAATTTATACCAGTTGTTGTTCGAGTCCATGACGATATGTGTCAACAGGGGAAGCAGCCTTAGTTGTGTTGGAGGCAGGAAGGTGGTCTCCATGCCCAGGTGAGGTGGTTAATCCTACCTTAACAAGCTGCTCATTGCTATAGTTCACACTAGATGGCACCAATCGCCGTACCTTACATAGAACAAATTCCATACTGGTATGAGCAAGGAAGGAAGGGTGATATATGACATCTAATTATAATCTGTGTTGCAATAATATATACAGTCCGACCTACTTTATCCGGCCACGTCGGGACCGGCACTCATCCGGATATGGGATTTGGCCGGATATGAGAGTTATGCTCAAACACAGCATTTCTATGCAGTTCAGTAGGGTTTATGCATGTGATAATGCATTTACTCGTTGCTATGATTATTTGTAACAAACTGTCGTGTTTTATGGTTTATATGAAATGGAAATAAAATGAAATAAAACAGAAATTTTACCGGAGGCATAGCAGACACGAGCAGACAAGCGCACACGCAAACACACGTACGGTGGTACAGTACACAGTTGGTACATCGCGCGAGTTTTGGGCGAGATTTTTAGGTGGAATTTTAAATTAATGAAAAACAGAGAACATACACTGCGAGATCGCGGCCGGTTAATAGAGATTTCCGGATAACGGATGGCCGGATAAAGGAGGTTAGACTGTAGTATGACCCCCTCGATATAAAAATAGCTAGTGGTGTTTTCATTCTGCATGCTTAACTTGTGTAATTTGAAGTGAAAAATGCAGCTTTACAAAGCGGCATGTGTCAACTGCAGCAAGTTGCCATGAACAGATATATATTCTTACACAGCTTTATGTTTCTTTTTGCAATAATGCTTTACTTAACCAGTTGGAAGTACCAGCATATATATATATATATATATATATATATATATACAGACCATCCATATACATATCACATTCACCTTCCACATACAAACGTCTGATAAATAATATGTACCTCATCTGTCACTACTTGGTGGGAATGTGTCTTTGTTTGTGTCTGTGAACTTTTCTCATTCCGTTTAGTTTTGGATTTCATCACTTTCTGCTGCCCATCCTCATCTGAAGAAAAGCATGATAAATAATGACAGTAAATTTGATCGAGCATCAATTGATTTCTACACTTCCACTCAGTTATAGTACCACGCACAAACACTACTACCTGTAATAATTAAATGCTGCTACCTTCAACAACACTACTTACTGAAAACTTACATACCCGATATTTAAATTTATACAAATCTATGCCTGCCGTTATTCATAATGGAAATAAAACCATCATTGTTGACACAGGTTTTACTGTAAATAGAAAATAGCCTGCATGTGTATTGTGTATTATGTCGAACATGTGCCAAGTTTGCAACCAGAGAAATGTCATTGACTTAGTACCTATCATGACAGGCAGTTGAGTGGCATGCACGTTGTCCACCCACAAAGTTTCTGTAGTGACTGCACGCATCTGACTGCCCGTGGACGCCGCTGACTGTTCACTGACCATTGTCGCATAAGATGCCTCACTTCCGGTACTGGCCAATGACAAGCCGCTACCCAGTCTGCACGGTCGGTAGCTCCCACACGAGGCCGCGCGCCGATGCTCCCCTTTTCTCACTGGGAAATGCGTGAATCTATTAGTGCATGAATGAGTGAACTATAGGCACAAACCACAGAGGCACATACAGATTTACAGCAGCACATGTGGTTGTGCGTACCCATGCAAAACGATTAAACTTGAAGAAACAAATGTTGCGGTATACCCGCACATGGTTGCACGTACCGATGCTTCGTTTACAATAAAGAATGTGGGGGCTACGTTCTCGGACAAGCCTCAGAATATCTGTCGCCATGATGATTTTTTTCTCCACAAACAGCTCTTTGGTAAAGAACTGATCCTTTGTCAGTGGTGCCTTGTAAGCAAATAACTCTCTCAGTACCTAAAATGTAGCACAAAAATGTTTCTGACTATTGGAAATACAATTGTCCACCACCCACTTTTCTATTTATGACAGTTCTGTGCACTTTAACACTATGCTTGTCTGTAAACCCTTACCTTGTACATTTTTTCAATGAACCTAATGTCTGGGCAAGTTGTCATCTCGACGATGTTCAACTTGGCTATATCTTCCATCAAGGGCTGACTATAACTTGTGAAGGCATAGCGATACAATGGCACAATCGCCTCAGGGCATCCAGAACTCAAACTGACCAGAAAGTACAAAATCAAGGTTCGTAAAATGCGTAACACATTTAGTGTTGATTAATGTAGTAATTAGCATATATATGCTTACACAGATTCTAGGTATCTATGAATCAATAGAGAGTCATATTTGCTATGCTAATCTCGCCACACTTGACCATTCATTCAGTTAGCAAATGACCTTTAATAAATTCTATACATTCGACCATTGTCTCTATAGTAATTTACTTGCCTAGTAGTAGTAGTAGTTTGAGGTTTCAGCTCTGGTATTACACCCATGCCTGCATGCAACCTTTATAATTTTTTCACCAGAGAAGGGTATGTAACAAAGACCCTCAACAAAACCCAATAATTCTGCAGCATTATATCAGGAGTCTATCAAAACAAAATTTTGATAGACTCCTGATTATATCACATATGTAATAAATGTGCTGTTGCCATAAAATCCATAGCTAATTGCTATAGACTGAATGGTTAAACATACTATACCCTTTGTAGTCAGTATGATTTGGATACTTCATTTGTTTTAGCACATGCTGAAGTTTCTTCAAATTGTTGTACAGATCTCCTGTTGCCATTGCTTCTGTAATAACACTAAGAGTAGTAAATTAACTCAAGGTATTACAATTTGCTAGAACATAATACTAAACGTGTGACAGAGCAAATACCATGAAATACACATTAAATAACAATATGTGATACCAAAAGATACAGCCATACAAAAATAGGCCTTTTAAGTTCTATGGAGCACCACAAATATAGGCATAGCATTCATCATGCAAAACGATACTGTTGGGTAAATGTCACATTATTACTAATAATAACAACAGGATTTACACATGCATATTGTACGCACGCACACACACAGTTCTACACAGAAACGCAGACACGTAGACACTCATAAACGCGAAGCAGTTACATACAAACACATTGGCTTGGATCCAACTGGGCCAGCGCTAGTGCAGGCCTTTAGTTGTAAAATTTTATCTCACCAACACAATACTAACTTGTAACTGTAAGTACTGCTCATAGGGTTAGGGTTAGGGTTAGGGTTAGGGTTAGGGTTATGGAGTAGGCGACTCCCTAAACTCATTAGTGGAGTATGCGAGGTACGGTCCGGCATATTAGATAGTACCAGGGTACGTTCCGGCAGTACCCTGGGGGATCGACATAGACCCTCTCAGCGTAAGTACTAAGTAAGTGCCTGTGAGCACAGGCACTTGGAAGTTGGAGCGTTTCACTAAAATATAATGCTAAATAAATACGAAATCTGTTTACTACCANTAATTAATTATCCGAACATAAACGAAAGAGCTACAGAACCAAAATCAAATGGGCAGAAAGCATCACATAAATACCTACAAAGAAATACAGAAAGTTCAGAGGAAAACAAAAACATCTATGGGGTTCCGAGTACCACGGTCCCGCTTCCGATAAACGAAGCGAAAGCGCTACGTTGAGGCACTGAGACCCCAACTTGAAACTTGTGAATAGACCCCCTAAACCCTAACCAAAAACCCTAACCCTATCCTAAATTCTAAAAATAAAACTAAAATTTAGCCGAAAAATAATAAACAAAGAGCCCCGCAGAGCGTCTGGGCTCATTGAGTCTGTTGCTAACGGTTATAAACGTAAGCATTTAAGTTGTGCTATAACACCTTCTGTTAGGCGCCACAGGGTTCTCCACAGGATGAAATTCAAAGGTCAGGGGGAGGGGAGGGGTAGGGAGGGAAAAGGGAGGGAGGGGGAAACTAAGGGGGTCCGGGGGCCATGGTATTTTTACTCGTACGACTAGATTAATGCGTAAAATCGCCCACCACACCATTAGACGGTATTTGGGTTCTTGTATATATAGAGATAGGATTCCGGTGTTACAGTTAGTGCACAGGTTAACTTATGTGTACTGTGCTTGAGTGCATGCGTGGGTAAAACGGTAAAAATAACAGCCTGCGTCGATTGTCCTGGTCGATTACGGCAATTCTTGACGATCGATTCCCGCGCTGGCGAAACCGTTTTATTGTGGGGAAATTTAAACGGGGCGCCAACGAATTCAAACAGGGGGAGTTTTCGCCAAACGGGGCGGCATACGATTCATAACAGGGGGAGTTTTCCCAACGGGGCGGCAAGCGAGTCAAACAGGGGGGAGTTTTCCACAATACGGGCGCGCTGCCGCCCGCTTTGCGGCAACGTAGGGATAGCAAGCCCTGGCTGCAAGATATGCAGATACGCAAGTTGTGCGTACACATCATTTCAAGCAATCCTTGCTGTCATTCGCATAGAATCCCGAGGCCCAAGCCCATTGGTTGATACCAATCGCGTGGCCTGAAAACTAATGTTTTTATAGTTGCATTGTGACCCTAACGCCTATTAACGAACAAAACGAAACAAGGTCAGCCAGTGATTAGGTGGACGCGAATAAGCTCAAGAACGTACACAATTTCGTGCGTCTATATTGGTGCCAAAATTTGATGAGAAAATTAAGTCTGGAAATCCACCAGCTCTGCACTCCTGTGTTAATTATTTATAGATTGTGCTAGTGACTATTCCAACTGATTCATGAATTACACTACAGAATCTTCATAATATAACGTCATCCATTATTCCTAAGTAAGCATTGTTCAAGTAAGAGTTGAGTGTGGAATTCATCAATCCTGTAAAATGGAGGCGTATACACACAGCTACAGTACGAGTACTCCGCCGAACCCAGTTGAGAAACAAATAACAATGTTTAAATCCTCCTAACAGGCTGGCATATAGAGAGTTGCCCACCTGTACGCGCTAATTAACGCAGGCAAACTACAACCATAACTATCCCACCGCCACCACATGCAATAGGCAGTGGTCGCAGCTGGCCAATGCATTTAACACGATCGACAGTAACAGATATGCCATAGAATTATACGATTTCAAGGAGCATAAACCCTTCCTTCAAAGCAAATTTAGCTTTTGAAATTTTGCACTGGACAGTTGTAGGCCTCGGATACATTCCAGGCTATGTATAAGATTCTAACTAGCCAAACCGCAGCAGTCAAATTCCTTTTCGTAACACAGTAACAGTTAACAAATCCAATGTTTAAAATCCCTCCTTTGAGGGTCAAAAGGTTATCAGATCTACTCTTAACTCTCGCGTCAGATGAAAGAGCACCCATTTCATGGTCGCCTTTCAATAAAGCCTTATAAAAAATGCGTAGGTCGACTCGGCTGAAAGACATGAAAAGAGTTTTCATTGCTTCCGTCAGACCATCGTCCTCATGAAAATGTCTAAAATCTGCCCTGTGCCCATTGACCTGCTTTGACCTGTTAACTGCCAAATTTCGGCACAGGATGGCTTTTCCTACCATGATGCATATCACGCGACTATCTACTTCCTTAAACAAGTGCCTGCAAGTGCAACACGCTCATCTGACCTCGGTTGCCAACGAGTCGTGGTTAAACCATTTAACGCTCTGAGTTAAAAGTAAGCTCTGAGTTAAATTCAGCTAACTCTGAGTTTAAATTCACTAGACTCTGAGTAGTATAAACGTCCGAGTTAATTTTTGGGTCATAAACAATGGTTTTAAATCCCCTGAAGTTATTATAGTAACTCAGGAGTTTAAGCTATTTTAAGCCAGAGTTAGTATCCCCCATAATCTCCAATAATTAATAACAATAGAACAACGCCAGCAGCAGACAACTAAGCTAAATCGCAGCAGTGATGGTAGGAATGAAGAAGCGATGCAAGCAAATTTTCCTAGTGCAAAAAGGCAGCTGGCTGGAAGCTGTTTATGATTTTAACAAGAGTGTGCTGACATCCGAAGCTAACAAACATATACGAAACCAAGTGGCCATAAACAGATATAGTTGACATTGATTTATTAATTGTTATTGAGTTATTTTATATACCCGGCAGCCGGTAAATAATAAAGCAAGGAAAAATAATTATTTTAGCCAACTCGGGAATCGAAACCGCCGAGCGATCGTTCACGATATTGGCACGACGCGCTACCAGTTGAGCTATACGAGGAATTTGTTACATAGTAACCAATATTATAACTGAACGAATGTAGGGATGGGAATAAATCAGTGTTGGTACGCCATCTATAGGCTCACGTCGGTCAGCGAACAACAAACGTAAATAAATATGGTTACAAGCAAAATCAAGCGGGATGATTCGAACACGGGGCAGTACTAGATAAACTAATTAGCTCTAGTATTAGTATCCTAGAGCTAAACTAACCTCGTAGAAACTAATCTTCAAAGTCTAAAGGATGATACCGAAGACTAACTATAAATAAATCAAATGTAAGTTGTTTCTTATGTATAAATTATGCAGATTCTTATGAAAATCTTACCGTACCGTCGGTTCAAGGATAGAGAACATGGGGCCCATTGAAACCTATGTAATTTTCGTAAATGTGGGGGTAGCCCCTTTAAAATCGACAAGGGTACTGGTGAGGGTGTTCTTTGTTCATTTCAACCGATAAACATTATGTGAGTTAACAGGAAGTGTCGAAAAAAATGGGTCGTCGTGTTTGCGATATTCTTTTTGTTTTTCGGGAACTGGGGCGTTAAAAAGGTAAAAATCAGCCATTTTTAACCCTGAGTTAAGAGTTAATCCAGGTTCGAACCAGAGTTAAATTTTAACTCTGAGTTAGGCATATTTAACTCAAAGTTAAAGTTAATCCACGACTGTGAAACGGAATTTAACTCTGAGTTAACTTTTAACTCCGAGTTAAGGAATTTAACTCAGAGTTAAGAGTTAACCCACGACTGTGGAACCGGGTCCTGGTGTCTGGTGTTCTGCTGATAAATTCATTTGTGCATAGCAAGACGTCTTAAATACATAAGTCTTCTTTATTCTTGTTCGACTTTCGTAGCAAATTCGAACAAATATATCAGCTACACTTTCGCACCCACCTAATCTCTATGGGCTAATTCTAATAACAAGAACAATAATAACAATTCAAATACAAGTTAATGAATGACATTGCCGTTGACATAAAAGATTTCAACATATGAGCACGGATCTCCAAGTTTAATTAGAGGGGGCGGGGGGGTCCTTCGCGCCCACCTCTTTCCCCACTGCGTCCCACCTCCCTCCCTCCTGCCTCTCACCTCCCTCCCCCTGCCTCCCACTTTACTCCCCTTGCCTCTCACTTCCACCACCTTACCTCCCATCTCCCTCCCCCTGCCTTCAGCCTCCCTCCCCCTGCCTCCCACCTCCCATCCCCTTGCACACCATCTCGCACGACCTAATTGTCCCGCTCGCATACACACCGTATCACCGTTTTCCTGTCCCCGTCTCAATTTACTACTCTCTCTCTCTTTTTATCTTAGACTTTCTCTCTCTTAATTTATTTTTTTTATTTTTTAACCAGCGATGATGCCTTTTACTGCAGTCAAGAAATGGCATCATATTTGGATTAATTCACTCAAATCCATGTTGTTTTAAAGAAAACATATATACTAAAAACGACTTTAAGTTAACCTAACTTACACTTACAGAAAGTTCGGGAAAGTTTTTGGTAGATAATTCGGGATTTTGGCTACAAGTCATGGAGGCTGACATCTTGCCAAATTCCAGCCAATCAGAAGGCGCTAAATTCTTCCCTATGTTATAGCGTTTGGGAAAAAAAATTTCGCGGTCGGGCTACCGGCGTAACCATAGTACTGCTGAGAGGGTCTATGTCCCCCGGGGTACTGCCGGAACGTACCCTGGGTACGGTCCGGTATACCGGAACGTACCCTGGTACTACCTAATATGCCGTACCGTACCTCGCCTACTCCACTAACGAGTCTAGGTAGTCGCCTACGCCTACTCCCTAACCCTAATCCTAACCCTAATCATATCAAATAGTGACCAGGGTACGTTCTGGTATACCGGACCGTACCCAGGGTACGTTCCGGCAGTACCCTGGGGGACATACCCTATGAGCCATAGTACTGCTCATAGGGTCTATGTCCCCC